GCGGAGAAGGTGGGAGCAGAAGAAGGAGAGCTTGGTGTTGCTAGGGTTGGTTTCTAGGGCTTTGCACAGGCTGTTATTGATGATGAAGTTGTTTACAAGACCACGGCTCAATCTCAGGAAAGATTCCTGTTGTTAGGGAGTTGCCACTTTCTGCCAGGCTCAGGCACACTCAAAAACCCCATTTCCGAGGCCCCTCGGCACCAAGAAACCGATCCAAGGCAAATTCCTGGAACCGCACTCAGCCTTGGCTTCCACTCTCTCCCTGCCCCGTCTGCCTGCAGCACTTGCGCAATCCCCCCACACCGCTAATGGCTCGGGAGTTTGTCTGTGATACCTCCCACCTGCTGCGCCAAAGATGCACATGATTTCAGCTGTACTGGAGTTGGGGGAGTACCTGCTAATAAACTGTGGTCCCGATATCAGTGACAAAGATAAGCACAATGTCTCCCAGGCTGACCTAAGCCTACTCAGTGACCCGCTGAGAGGGGAGCAAGCTCACCCTCCTGGCGTACCAGTGAACTCTCTGCTTGAGTTTTAGTGGTGCTGTGCATGCCTGTTTGTACTCAGGTGACCCAAGTTACTGATAAAATCAGGTGTTGGGGCAGATCCTTGGGGCTGTTTGCTGGGATTTGGTATGGTCGCTGGTATGCTGATATAGGGTGTCTTCTTTCTTGGTTCATGGGGATCTCAGGTGGACGCCCTTGCCGGCCAGTCAGTGACTGCCCCAGGGAAGTTTCCAGTGGCTTCTCTCAGCTGCCCATCCGTCCTCCACTAGGTAGATCCTTCTTAAGTATTCTCTCTGTGCCTTTCCTCTAATTCTGCTCTTCTGTGTTTGGTGTACTCTGATTCAGTGAGCTGTTCAGAGCACCAAAATCCCTAATTCAAACTGCTGTACCTAGTTTTTCAAGCACTTAGATGCTAGAGGGAAATAGTGTGGTGCTTAGTGACGAGACTCCATTTTTAATCTTCCTTTTCTGTCCTTTTAATGACTTTTTGCTTTCTTAATGTATGATATTCCTGATGTCATCCCACAGTTCCTCTCATTTTTGGTCATTGGTATGCAGTTCATCAAATCTATTCTTTAGATGGTCTCTAAATTCAGGTGTGATATAATGAAGGTCATATTTGACTCTCGTGGACTTGTGTTAATTTTCTTTAGTTTCAACTTTAACTTGCATATGAGAAGTTAATGCTCTGTTCCACAGTCAACTCCTGACCTTGTTTTGGTGGAAGATATTGAGCTTCTCCATCACTTCCTTGCACAGATGTAGTCGATCTTATTCCTGTCTATTCCATCTGGCAAAGTACACATACATAGCCGCCATTTATGTTGTTGTAAAAAAGGTATTTGCGATGAGTAAGTCATTGTTCTTGCAAAATTATATCATGTGATCTCTAGCGTCATCTCTCACCAATGCCATATTTTCCAACTACTAATGATTCTTCTTTGTTTCCAACTTTTGCGTTTCAGTCACCAGTAATCAACATATCTTCATTGCATGTTTGGTCAATTTCAAACTGCAGAAAGAAGTTGGTAAAAAAAATCTTCAATTTCCTTATCTTTGGTGGTTGGTGCACAAATTTGAATAATAGTAGTAGTAGTGGTCTTCCTTGTAGGTGTATGGATATTATCCTATCACTGACAGCGCCGTACTTCAGGATAGTTCTAGAACCATTTCTTTGTGGCAATAAATGCCATGCCATTCCTGTTCAATTTGTCATTCCTAGCGTAATAGGTCATATTGTTGTCTGATGCTACATGGCCAAAACTGGTCCATTTCAGCTCACTGATGCCTAGGATATAGATTTTTATGCATTTTGTTTCATTTTTGACAACTTCCAATTTTCCTAGTTTCATACTTCATACATTCCATGTTCCAATTACTAATGGACATTTGCAGCTGTTTCTTCCCATTTTGAGTTGTACCACATCAGCAAATGGAGATCCTGAAAGCTTCACCCCATCCACATCATTAAGGTTGACTCTACTTTGCAGAGGCAGCTCTTACCCAGTCACATTTTGAGTACCTTCCAACCTGAGGGGCCCATCTTCCATCACTGTATCAGACAGTGTTTCAGGGCTGTTCGTCCAATTTTCAAGTAACGTATCAGATAGTGTTTCATTGCTATTTATTAGGTTTTCACTGACCATTTCTTTGAGAAGTGGATGACCCCTTCCTTCTTCCAAGTCTGTCTTAGTCTGAAAGCTCCACTGAAACCTGCTCACAATGGGTGACCCTGCTAGTATTTGAAATATCAGTGGCATAGCCTTCAGCCTCAGAGGAACACACAAGCCACCACAGTGTGACAAACTGATAAATGACTGGTGCGATAGAAAATAGGATTTACCATACATCACAAACATGCAATAAATAGTTTCAGTTTCATCTTGTAGACAGTAAATATTTTGAGCAAGGGAGGTTGAGATAAGGGTTGTACTGGAAAGAGTTGTTATGAAGTGTGTAAAACTAGAGCCTAGAAAACTCGAAAAGTATTGAAATAGATAAAGCTAAAGCAGGGCAATAGCCGTGGAAATGAAAAGAAAGGGTGCATGTTTAGAAATAGGTGTAAAAAGAACCAGAACAACTTGGTAGTTAGTTAGATGGTGAATAGCAATGATGATGGGGTAGAAAATGACTGGTTTCTTATAAGCTCTTCTTGACTGTTGATTATTCTCCCAGCTTTTTCTAATGTTCAAAACCTTTAATACTTCCTTCTGTCTTGTCCTTATAGCCAGTGAGTCATCGTGTCTATTTATTCTTCCTTTCATGGATCTTTAAAATGATATCCTTTAACTTCCCAATGATTGTGTTACTTGTTCATATTACTCATTTTGACTTTATCGTAGCCTACTTTGTATTGTTTACTAATAAGAGGTCACGTGCTAGATCTCCTACTTTTTTGTATCCTTCTTCATTATTTAAGGTGTTTTTGAAGTATTTAAGTATTTGATTGTTGATTAATCATGTACTTAATACTTAGAAACAACATATACTCTAATAGGACCAAATAGTTAAAGTTAGGTAACTAGCACAATGCAGGGTGCATAATCCTTTTCCTTTTAAAGTTGATGAAGTTAAAATGCCTAGGGCTTCTTGTACTTATCCAGTATCTAAACCTTTGGAAGCTGAGGTGCTCTTTTTCGGGATTCTTTTGCAAGAAATAAGGAACTTTCTGGCCCCCTTATTTACATTTTATTTTGTTAGCACATGTTTGAATTAGGAGCACTGGTGGCACAGTATTTAAGTACTTGGCCACTAACTGACAGGTCATTGGTTTGAACCTATATGCCGCTCTGGGGAAAGCAGATGTGGCAGTCTGATTCCATAAAGATTACAGTCTTAGAAACCTCATTGGGCAGTTCTGCCGTGTCCTGAAGGTTGCTATGTGTTGGAATTGGCTCGTTGGCAATGAATATGTTTGAATTAACAGTGTTTGTGAGAAAGCACAATCAGAAGCATGATCAGTAAAGGCACTCCCCAGGTTACGAATGGGTTATGAACACCCAACTTACAGAAACTCCTACTTACCTTTTAATGTTAAGTAAATTTACCCTCACTTTGAAACAATTGAACCAACCCCTACTTGAAACACATTCTTCATTATAATCACTGTAACTTGCTGAACATGCAGCTTTTAAATCATTGCAGAGACTTTGAGCCTCTTTTGCAGTGCCCAAAAAACCAAACCAAACCTGCTGCCATGGAGTCGTTTCGGACTCATAGCAACCCTCATTGGGCTTCCAAGGTGGTAAATCTGTCCAAAAGTCAATTGCCCAGTCTTCCTTCCACAAAGTGCCTAGTGACTTTGAATCACCAACCTTCTGGTTAGCAATCTCAAGTAAGGCTAAATAAGAAGCATATCCACTTCATCTGACTTACCTATAAATTTGACTTAAAGATACACAGAAACAGATCTCGTTCGTATCGTGGGGGACTGCCTATGTGTCTGTAAGTATGTAGTACTCAAGTGTTTAAATGAACTATGAAAATACATCAGCAGCCTTAGCAGTATATTAGATTTAATTTTACATGTTGTTGTTGATATTTGCCATCGAGTCGGCCCCGACACATAGCGACCCCTCCTTGGGTTTCCGAGGCAGTATCACTACGGAAGTAGGATTGCCCAACCTTCGTTCTGAGGAGTGGCTGGTGGGTTTGAACCGCCAGCCATCTGGTTAGCAGTCAGGTGCCTTAGGCATTATGCTACCAGAGCTCCTAGAGTAAAATGAATAATAACTTTTGGATACTTAGACATTCTCTCTATATATCCCTTTAACCACTATTACCCATGAGTCAAATTAAGGTACTTTATATAGACTCCATAAAAAAATTGGAGTTCCTTGCCATCACCACCTCAAATGTACCCTCATTTCAAATCTGGGATAAAAAAATTATTTAAATAGGCTGCAATTATTGAACATTTTGAGCAAAGATTCTATAGAAGAATCATGATCAAAAGGGGAAAATTCAGAACAGAATTTAAAATTCTTATGGACTCCAGACTTTCTAGTGCCAAGGGAGCTAGATGAACCTCTGAAACTATTACTCTGAAATAATCTTTAAAAGATAACCAGAAATATCCCCTGAAGTCTTCTAAAACAAAACAGTAGTTTAGCTTAACAAGTAAAAAATGTCTGCCTTGAGCATTACGCTCTTTTAAGAGCTATATATATGGGACCAAAGTGACAAAACAACTTGAAAGATTACATAGGAACCATAGGGTGAAGTGAGTTTATGTCAGTGAGGAAGGAACATCAGAAAGGGAGGGTGAGAATGGTTATACAACTGAAAGAATGAAATGCTTTTCAATTGTACATGTAGAAACAGTTGAATCGGTGTATGTTTTCCTGTGTATATCCTCAAAATAAAAATCATTTTTTAAAAATTATTTAAATAATTGTGTTTTATTAATTTATGGCACAAAATAGCTCAGTTTTAAGTGACCCTAACTTTCAATTTTAGTTTTTAAATAATCCATTGAATTTTTGGTTTCTTTAGGGTATCGAAAACATAAAAAATGAAATTGAAGATGCAAGTGAACCTTTGATAGATCCTGTCTATGGACATGGCAGGTAATTAAGTGAAATCTATTATCTCCTTTTATAGGCTTTAGTTTTTAGATTCTTAAACATGATTGACTCAGATGATTTTGCATGTCAGTAGTGCTGAAAGTAGTGTTGACAGCATAAAGTATATGGATTTGAGCAGTCAAGTGCTTTATGATGCATCACTTACTTTACATATCAAATGTTGATTTCCACTTTAGATTTTTATATGAGTTGCATTTACTGTGGCAAATATTTTGTTTTAATATGATAATGGGAAGGTATTTTAACATTCTGCTTTATGTTCTGTTTATGAAATTTTAAATAAGTATATTCATTTTGACTTAGAAACAAGGATATCATTATGCATTTTTAAATGTTTTACTGTTTGGGAAAAAAAAAGAATTTATTTCTCCCTCTCAAGCTTTTTGTAACTGTTTCTACCAAAGTCAATAAAGCAGTAATTGTTAGCTCACTCTAATTCATGATTCCTTTTTTTCTAGAGCTTTCTGCCTCAGAATAAATTTCACATATCTTCCATGAAATATAAAATATTAATAATTATATATGTACTTTAAAGACAGTTGATATAAAAAGCAAATGATCACTCTAAGTAGCATTTGTTTTTTTATCCATTTACATATGATATGTTGGAAAGGTGTTAAATTTTATACGAATGCATAGAACAATAGATTCCATTGTGGTGTTACATTTAATGATATATTTACCAAGGCTGTGTTCAGTTGAATATGTATATAAAATGAAAGGTATTAAATTTTCCCTAACCCTTTTTCTTAAAAAGACATAGTTTAATGTAAAATGTCATTACTTTATGCCTTACTATAGGATTCATTTAATTTGAAAACCAGCTGTATTCATATTTTAATTACTTTTTAAATTTATTTATAGCCAAAGTTTAATTAATCTGTTATTGACTGGACATGCTGTTTCTAATGTATGGGATGGTGATAGAGAATGCTCAGGAATGAGTGAGTATCTTCTTTGTTGTGTTTATGTCTTTTATAATAAATATGTGGCAGGAATACCATTAATTATTATTCTTCTATTTAATGGCCCTACATCACTTAAAAGTTGAGTGCCTGCTAATAGAAGATTATTTTGCAATTTTCCAGGCACCATAACATAAGAGAATAGACTTTGGAACCAGACAATGGATTCCAATCCTAAGTGAGTGACTTTGATCAAGTTACTTAACTTCTGAAGCCTTTAGTTTTCTCTTGTATAAAATTGGGATTTTATGGCCAAGCTCTTTAAAAAAGTAATAAATAAACCAAAAACCAAATCCTCTGCTGTCATATCGATTCCAACTCTCAGCAATGCTATAGGACGGAGTAGAATTGTCCCAAAATGTTTCCAAGGCTATAAATCTTTAGGGAAAGAAGACTGCTGCATCTGTCTCTTGCATGTATACATGTTGTTGTTGTTGTTGTTATGTTCCGTCGAGTTGGACCCAACTCATAGTGAGCCCTCCTTGGGTTTCTGAGGCAGTATCACTATGGAAGTAGATTGCCCCGTCTTCCTTCCGAGACTGTGCAGTGTTTCGTTCTGTTGTACACAAGGTTACTATAAGCCAGAGGCAATTAGATGGTACCTAACAACATAACTTAAGATTTCATTTTACTTGGATAACAACGTAACTTATGTTGTTAGGTACCATCAAATTGCCTCTGACTCATGGCAACCTTGTGTACAACAGAACGAAACACTGCACAGTCCTGTGCCATCCTCAACAATCCTTGCAATGCTTGAACGTGTTATTGTAGCCACTGTGTCAATCCATCTCATTGAGGGTCTTCCCCTTTTTCACTGACCCTCTACTTTACCAACCATGATATACTTCTTCAGGAATTGGTCCCTTCTGAAAACATGACCAAAGTAGGTCAGATGAAATCTGGCCATCCTTGCTTCTTAAGGAGCATTCCAGCTGCACTTCTGCCAGGACCGATTTTTTCATTCTTCTGGCAGTCAGTATTCTTCACCATCACCACAATTCAAAAGCATCAATTCTTCATTGCTCTTCCTTATTCATTGTCCAGCTTTCACATGCATATGAGGCAATTAAAAATACCATGGCTTGGGTTAGGCACATGTTAGTCTACAAAGTGACATCTTTGCTTCTTAATACTTTAAAGAAGTTTTTTGCAGCACATATGCCCAATACATATGCTGTCTGATGTCTTGACTGCTGCTTCCATCAGTTGATTGTGGATCCAAGTAAAATGAAATCTTTGACAAGCTCAAATTTTTCTTCATTTATCATGATACTGCATATTAGTCGAGTTGTGAGGATTTTTGTTTTCTTTATGTTTCTTTATGTTTTGTTTTCTTTATGAGGTAATCCATGCTGAAGACTATAGTCTTAGATCTTCATCAGTAAGTGCTTCAAATCCTCTTCACTTTCATCAAGCAAGGTTGTGTCATCTGCATATCCCAGGTTGTTAATCAGTCTTCCTTCTATCCTGATGCCATGTT